TAGAGGGTCACACGAACCCCCACGAGAGGGTGCGTGTCCCCCTCGATTGCTCTTGCAGCAAGTTTGGGTTCAGCCCCCTTACAGCCCCAGTTTCTCCCTCCGCGGCCGAGCTGGCTGAGGCCCCGCAGCCTGGAATATGGAACAGGAGGAACCCCTGCTGCGCCCTCTCCATCCCCCCCCCCCTCCCGCCTCTGCTCAGCGGCCCGGGCTTTAATAACGTCGCTGGAAAGTGACACGCGATTTATTATTAAAGTAATGCGGGGACGGGAAAGGTTTAATAAACGCGCAGCGATGCCGAGGATTATTCACCGCAAATAAATGAGAGCGCGGGCGGCGTTTTAATAAATAATTTCCCGCCGCTCCCGGGGGACGAGCGGAGAGCAGGAGGGGGAGCTGAGCTGCTGCCAGAACTCCCGGCGCCTCCCCACGGGTTTCCGAGCCTCCCCGCCTGTGCCGTGCTGGGCTGCTCACACCGACGAGTGAGGCTCCAGGAAAGCTGGCTCCGAGAGGTCCGGGCGGGAGGCGGGAGAGCCTGTGCCCCACCTCTCTCCTCCCACCTCCGGGGGTTTTAAGTAGTTTTGCATAAGATGAGTGAATGCGCTGCCTTCAGGCTCCGAACCAGAGATCGGGAGTCTAGACCGGACCGGGCAGGAAGTGTTCATCAGGACCAGCTCCTTCCCAGCCCAGGGTCCAAGTCCCAGGGCCTGGCCCTTCTCCTCCCAGCTTTTGGCTGACCCAGGCTGGGCGTTCAGGGTGTAGAGAGCCGCAGAGAGCTCTGTGTACAGGTGTATAGGGGTCACGTGTGTGTAAATGACCCTGCCTCCCTCAGGCGTTGTGGGGATGGGTCACTGAGCCTGGCTGCTCGTTAATAGGCTCGGTGGCCGGGGAAGAAGGGCCATGGAGCCTAGTCTGAACCTGCCGAGTCCTGGTGCAGCCCAGTCTCTGGCTCGCTGGTGAAGGGGGTGGATTTGAGCTCAGGTGGAGAAGAATTCGGAGCCCCAAGGGGGAAGTCCGCCCCTTCAAGAGTATGAACTGGATATCGGATAGGGCCGAGTTTGCAGACTTTGGGGACCAAGGACACGCCCAGCACGCTGGTGGGTAGGGGAGGGAGGGGGAAGCTTGTGGGGTACACAGGCTCCAAAAGTTTTGTGCCTCAGATGAAAGAGTCGACATCTCTGGCGACACCTCTGGCAACACTTGGAAGTACAGGAAGTGGCGAAAGAGTGCTATCTGGTGGATACTTGGGGTTATGGCAGCCAGATCTGGGCTAGATATCTTGACAGTTAAATCGGCTGGAAAATTTGGGGTAAAAAGGTGTTTCGATTTGTATTCATTTATGTATGTGAAGGTGTACATGTATGTGTAGTATATATGTGGTATATGTGTGATAACTATATGTAATATACCAGTATGTCATATTCATAGTAGTGATGTGTATGTGTGTCTATATGCACTATATATGAGGTGATATATACATGAATGTATGTACATGAATGTACGTATACTAGTATATGTTATGTGTGTGAATTATCTAAAGGCATGCATATGTATGTGGATAACCATATAGGTGCACATATGTCTGTGTGTACATAAGCATTATATATGTGTATGGATGTATTATATGTGTATATAGCTGTGTGTATACATTTGCAAGTACATGTTCCATTATGTGCCATTCTTTCAGCAAATATTTCTTATGTGCCAGAACTGTTGTATAGGGCTGGAGATACATCACAGAAAAACACATTGTCCCTGCTCTCATGGAGCTTACATTCTATTCTAAGATGTGCATGTAAATAAGTTACAGGAGTCTGTGTGCATGTATGTCTAACTCTGTTTCTGGGTGTATGTGTTAGGAGTAGACAGGCTTACACACTCTGATGGGCTAGGAGATTCCCTGTTGTTTTGCTCAAAAGCTCAAGTCCTGTCACTTAGGACTATTGTCAGTGTGCAGACAAGGACAGAGGGAAATAGGCTGGGGACATAGGCTGATTACCTTCTTCTAGGATATATTTTAGTTATTTTCTCAGCCCCCTGAATGACTAGATTCTTTCTAAAATGGGGAACAGCTATGTAAGTCCACTTAGAGTAAGGAAATGTGAATGAAAATCAAGTCTCACCTCTCCGCTCAATGCAAAGCTCCTTAGGAGGAAGAGCGATGGGCTGGGGATGGGTGAGAAAGGGGTCTGGGAGGCTGGGGGTAGGAATAGGTTCTTAGAGAGCAGCGATGAGGGCCTTTAGAGACTGGGAGGGGTCAGGTCTGGGAGGCAGTGAAGGGAGCTCTGGGATTCAGTTGCAGATAAGGAGGGTGGTTTGAGAACTCTTGGGGGAGGGATAGGCTGGTGGATAGAGATGGAGCCTGAGGAGAATAATGAGATCAGGACCAGGGATGGAGTCGGAGGGACAGAGAGAGAGGCTCTGTGGCAGAGATATACCCGTTTTGGGGTGAAATTTGGAGGCCAGCTCAGGTGGAGTTATCCCTCCCGTCCTCCCACCCCTTCCTTCTCCATACCAGGGCCCCCAAACTTCTCTAATCCTCTCTCTACTCAAGCTGGGTCCCGGTTATACTGGGGATAGAGGAGAAGAGCTCAGGCTCCAGGGCTTGTCCTAGCTTAGATGACTCATGGGGGAAGAGGAAAAGGTGAGGCAAGACTGCCGACACCACTGTCCCATGAAGCCTTGTCCCAGCCACCTGGGTGATTGCCATCCGTGCTGCTATTCCAGCTTGTAGTTTAGGCTCAGTTCAGGGGTGTCAGACAAGGGTGGGGCCTGGACCTAGAAAAGGTCCCAGAACACACTCCCCCCTTCCCACCACACACACACATTCCTGGGACTGAATTGGGAATGGTGCTTCCGAATAATTTTTTTTGTCTTTCCTTCCTTCCCATCTTTTGCTAGATGTCTTTCAGACACAGTCAAGGCCAGAAGTCTCCAGGTGCCATCCTCACTCTTGGTCTGTCACCTTCCCTCTCCCTTTATTGCTTCTCCTCCCTCCTTCTTTTCCCCTTCTTA